TCAGGCCAGAGTCAGGCCAGAGTCAGGCCAGAGTCAGGCCAGAGTCAGGCCAGAGTCAGGCCAGAGTCAGGCCAGAGTCAGGCCAGAGTCAGGCCCTGTTACACTGGTACCCAGGGTTTATTGGTTAAGGTTACTCCAGACTGGGCCTGGAGAGAGGAGTGACTGCTGATCACAAGCAGGAGATCAGGCCAGCACGACAATAACAGCACGCGCCTGCAGTCCAATTCACTGCCCTCGACGATCCAGTCTTTAAGCTGGTGTGTGAGGAGACAACAAGAGAGGGGGAACTGGCTGAGCGTTATTTGTGCCGAAATGTTTCCACGCTCTGCGCGTCTCTCCACAGGGCGGCCCAGCTGCGCCCCGACCTGTCCTGCCTCTGGAAGCTGCTGGGAGACGCGTGCAGCGCTGTCCATGCCGTGTCCCCCACCAGGGCCCGCATCGCCGTGCCGGGCCTGCTCTGTGGGCTCGCAGCCGGCGGCCAGAAGCACACGCTCCACAAGGCCGCCATCCTCAGCCTGGGAGGCCGGTGAGCTGCCGAGCCGCAGAACAGCGACCGGCGAGGGGAGGCTCGCCCATCCTGAAGTCAGGGCTTCGGCTTGGTTAGCTTGTCTCCTCAAACGGCAGGAGAGGACAAAGTGTGACTCGCCCGTGTCTGAATGGGGAAGCTATCCACTGTGACTGTGACTTTTCCACCTGACATTTGCTGCCCAGCAGTAAAAGTTCTGTTTGTCACTTTAGCTTCAGAGAATTAGACGTCTGCGTGACGTCGGGCTCTGTTTAACAAGAGATAGGCGACAGAGGCAGGAGATCAGAGGCGGAAGAAGTTGTCATGTAAATCTTATCTGTGTCAGAGTGAAACTGAATATACATTTTTGTATACGGTATATCTGACTGAGAGGAAGCGTATAAATAATAAAGAACAGTGGGCTGAAGACTGAACCCTGTGGCACCCTGAGATTGGCCGGGGTCACGGGTGATTTATGAGGACCAAGGGAGACAAAATGCTGCCTGCCAGTCAGACAAGAGCAGAAGCAGTTAAAAACAGTGCCATCAATAAGGAAGAATCTTTGCAAGCGATTGAATAAACACTGAAGGATTTAATTGATCTCAGTGCAGCTTTTGATACGGGAACATAAGGATACGTACAGCCCCGGAGTCAGACACAACAAGCAACTCTTTCACAATGGGGACCAGAGCAGTCTCAGTGGTCTCAGTGGTCTCAGTGGTCTCAGTGGTCTCAGTGGTCTCAGTGGTCTCAGTGGTCTCAGTGGTCTCAGTGGTCTCAGTGGTCTCAGTGGTCTGATTATAGTGAAAACCGGGCTGGAATTGTTCAAGCAAGTTATTCGATATCACGCGAGTCTGTAATTGATGTGCAATCACACAGTCTGCAGAGCTTGAGATGCTGAGTGGCTCTGCGGGTGGGTGTGTTGCAGGAGCATGTCTGCATATCTTATTAAATAAAATTGCTTGTTCCAGATTGCGTGGGCATATACAGTAATAAGCAACATTTAGCAATTTCAAATTGAAAGATAAAATCTATGTTTTCTTATCCCTTTAAACTGTTTCTTTTCTGCTCTCACTCTTGAAATTCTAAAATATGAATAGATTGAATGTCCATTAAATGAAAGATGTAAATAACAATTGGTTTCCAGCCTCAAATTCAATTTTCTGTAGTAAATCTTGTTCCAGTCAGATATACACAAAAACATTTTTTTTCTGAGTTCTGAAGTGGCTCCTTATTTTTTAATTTCACTGCAGCTCTGTTTTCCACTGCAATAACATGGCCGTTCCTACAGTGGTGGCGAGGCAGAGAATTTAATAATGTCTGGAGCACACTTCCTTGCTTGATCCCCGCAGTATGGCAGCAGACGCCCTGCTGAATCTCTCAAGCCGCCCGGCCGCGCGTGCTGTCTGAGTCTCGGGGTCTGTCTGTGCAGGTGCTACGCCCGCGCGCTGAAGCTGATGGCAGAGGCTGCTAACCTGTGGTGTGACCTCGGCCTGAACTACTTCCGTCAGGCTCAGCACCTGCTGCCCGAGGAGGGAAGCGAGAGCCCGGAGCTGCTGGAGAAGTCCGTACAGGTGCGTTTCCAGTTCATCTCGCCTCGCCTTCAGCGTTCCGATTTAAGCAGCTCTCCTGATTTCAGTCTTGTTTTTCAATTTTGCTGCAGTCTCGGTTTTCTTGTTGAAATCGATTGCTTAATGTTATTTAATGTATGATTTAGCAGAAAAAGTAGGCTCAGAAAATTAAATGTCAGTCTGTGCAAGATATTATTTTTCTCAAACAATCAGTGACAAACACTGCCTAATCAGTGTACAGGACTGGGTTGTTGTACAGTATCTGTGTAAATGCTGTTTCTGAATACATGCTTTGTCCTGGTGTGTTTGTCCCAAAGTACACCTTTCAAACTTGAGTCACAAGGATCCCTACAGTTTTGGTTTTAGTCAAGCACCTCTCAGGAGAAGGTATTTTATACAGTAAAATAGCCCCAGTGATATAGTTGGTAGTAGAACTGAAAGTAGTCCAGTAGAGTCTTGAAATCTGCAAGTTTAACATTCTCAAATGTACTTATTAGTGATTCGGTCCGCCTGACATTAGCAATTTGTTAATGAAAGAAGAGCAGAATGGGATGAAACCAAGCTGAAGGTTCTTAACCACAGCTTTCAGATTAGTGGTGCAACAGAGGAGGAACATGAGACGAATCTAGCAAGGGAGTTAGCCTCTGCCTGCACCTCAGCCTGCTCTTGTTCCTGTGCTGTCACGGACGCTGCAGGTTCTGTGCCAGCAGTGTGGGGAAGGACAGGGTTACTGCCTGTTCATCATGCAGTGGAGCATGATCACCACAGGGGCGGAGAGAGGAACTGCAGGATGGACATAAAGAAGGGGTTCATGTTGTTTATTTTAAATGATTCCTATAATTTTGTGATTTACTATTGTTTCTTTTAGTTGATCAGTGGTATTTAAATTAACTTAAAGCCAATACTTAGTACTTAATTATCATAGAAGTGAGGGCTGCTTATGTCTTTTAAACATGCGTTTATGCCTATACTGTGGTACATTAAGCAGCAGTTCTCTGCACCCAGTCCTTGCGAAGACCCTACTGTAATAAGTTTGTTTTTTTTCCTCAGTGCATTAAAAAAGCAGTGATGCTGGACAGCAAGAATCACCTGTACTGGAATGTGCTTGGAGTGGTTGTCATGAGCAAAGGTATGTGAACTGTAGAATTCAAAGGCATTGGGTTCAGATATACTACTAGTGCTGAAGAAGTGAGAGCCGGTGGAGATCAGAAGGAAACGCCTGCACTCTGCATAGTGTCAGCTCATTTGTGAGCCTTTCACTACTTCATCGGAAACGTGTTATCAAAGATCGTGGCATCTTCCCAGTGGGCTTTTGCAGAATTGGGTCCGAAACACTGTTAGAATTATGTTTAATCAGTTCGAAATCTTTTGTAAACACACTTGTTTCACTAAAACAAGCCAATAATGCAGCATCTTATTATTTTGCTTGATATGAATGCCAGCACTTTGCATTCATCTATTAAATGCATGTACTGTATAGTGCCCACTCAGATGTACAGTAAGCAAGCATCCTTTTCAGATGTGCTCTGCACATAAAAACGGCTTTGTACTTAGTGGATCTACTTTTGGTAACAAACATGTTTCAACATTGCTGTTCTTCCAAGAACCTTCAGACTAATCTGTCTTTCTTTTTCCATGGACAATTTCATTTTGTGTATGCTCCACATAAACACTTACACAGAGTCCTGAATGAAAGCCCACTGTGTATTCAAAACAATATTGGTGCATTCTATCTTATTCCAGTCCTACTTAAAAGGCACTCCAAAGTCTAATGAAACAGTGCATTACGTTCATTATGAGTCACTTAAGAGAAGCTAGCAGTAAGGTGGAGGAGTACAGGAGACATTCTTCAGTGTTTTTGTGTTGGATAAATGGAGAACGAAAAATCCATTGGAAAAACAAAACTGAAAAAATAAAATAGCAATGCACTACAAACTGCTAGGGTCTGCCATTAAGTGTACCAAGTAAAATCTGCCAACTGATTCCAGGGTTTCTGAAACGGTGGATTTGTTGGTGGGGAAACACCACCTTGCTTTCTTTACTGGAGCTACAGACATTTTTAATTAGCATTAAAACAAAGGTGAGCCCTGTTCATGATCTTCCTGCTCTTTTTCTTAGAGGTCCCTTGAGGGTAAACTTCACTCGGTCTGGACTCGGGCTTCCTGTTGGCTTTGAAATTGTCCAGAACCTTTTTGTATTTCTCCTCCAGCTGTGTAGCCTTGCTCCAACAGGGCTGCTTGCTGGCATCAGTGAGGCTGTTCCACCACAGCTCTGATCCAGTGTTTCTGACGCGGGCCGCGCCGCGATCGGGTCAGTTAGGTGCTCACTTTCTGAAAGAGCACCAGGAGGAGCTCAGCAGCCAGGACGGTGTGTGCTTTCTGCTTTTCAGAGGAATAATCCTCTTGACCCTGACGCAGCTCTGTGAAGTGAGCTTTCGCTGGACTGTTTGGGTTATTTTGTGATGTGTAGCGCTGTGCCGCAGGATCCGTCAACAGTGCAGTTTTTGCAGTCTGGGTGGTAGGGTTTTAATTGGGGAATATACTAAAAGTAGACCCTGAAGTGAACTTTTTACAGCATTAAGCTTCTCTGAAGGAAGTGCATTGAAAGTGTGTCCTTGCTTTTGAATGGTCTGATTGGGAGGCAGTTCTCCTGGGTTTGCTCATAGTTGATGTCAGTTACTGTACATGTTTCTGCCTGAGGAAATCACTGGGGTAAAAACTGATCATGCGGTAGTTGTTTTTTATGGAAAATAAAAACTGTCCAGTAAATTAAAAACACCTCTTTGATTGATAAAGGGAAATCGAGTGTAGACTTTACGTACTGACAGGGCTGTAAGGGTTAAAGATCTCTATACGTTTTCATGCTCCTCTGGGTGTTTCGTGTCACAGTAATGGCAGGATGAGCTAAACGGCTGCGTAGTTGAATAGGATGATTGTTTAATGGTCATGATGACCTCGTTACAGTGGAGAACGCACTGGATTACAAGCACACCAAGCCCTGGGTTTTGTTTGACTGGGTCTATTCAGCTGAATGGGCTCTGTTCATCATTCCATAGCGATCACACAGTGGTGGGGGACACAGTTCGTCCTCCCCTGGGGCTCATTGTATCGCTTCCCTCCACGCGGCCTGGTATGAGGGGGGCGAGAGTGTCGTGACACCGGCGTCGGTGCCCCTCCGCCTGACTCCTGCGTGTTTCGTGGGGGAACAGTAGGTTCTGCCGGGCCCTGTGCTCCGGGTCGCACCCCCCCCTGCCTGCTGGCACGGCAGAAGACTCTCGCCAGCGACCCTGTCGACCCCCGCTTTTGAAGAACACCCGGTGTGCCGATTTACGGGAGCGAAGCTGTTTCGGGTTTATTTCCGTTTGCGTTTCTCCCAGAATGAACACGCACACCCCGCACACAATGTTTCTCTCGTCACGCCGTCAGACCCCAATGTCCGTCTCCCTCGTTCCTGGACGCAGCCCAGCCGAGAGCCGGC